TCAAGGATAGCACATCTCTCTTCCTTCTTTCATGACATTTTCCTGCTTTATGAAAGCTGCTGCTCCACTCCACACATTTTGATATGTCACCAGAATTCCTTCCCAGCAAGTTGGGTGATGGCAGAAATAGCAGCCAACGACTGCATGTCAACAAGGGGGTACTGGGGAGAGAGGGAAAGAACCCGATACCTTCATGCACACACCATGCCATTATTTATTCGAGTGAGAGGAGCAAGGCTTCCAGGTGAAAACAAGCTGACTTGGAACTCTCTGATTATTGAAAATGAATCCTTAATAGAAGTAAATGGCCAAGAACTAAATTTCCTCACTGTGCTTGCCATTCAAATTAATTGGAAAGTGGCTGATTTGAGAATATTATATCCTCTAGTGAACTGAAAACGCTGCCTTTTTTTTTTTTCTCCGAAACCAAGAGTGGAGAATTAAATTAACTCTGAGGTTTGTTTGCTCAGAGTAGGCCACCAAACTGGATTAATTAATCATCATTTATGAACACACTATCACCCAGAGCAGTCAGAAAACTGCTAAGATAGCAACATGACAGTAGAACTGCCATAAAAACAAATGATAAATTTCCTGCATCTCCAGCCTATAGTAACTTGCCAGGCATTTCTTTGCAGTTCAAAAGAAAATATCCTGGTGAAAAACTCTTAGTTTTTATAGGAGTGCTCAGAATAAACAGAATGGTTTACACTTGCTCTGTAACTTGGGAATGCCAGGGAATGTTTCCTTCCTGGGCCTGGAGATTGGAGAGTGTCATGTCAGTGATGAGAGACATCATTCCTCCATCATTCCAAGCCCAGGTAGAAGCAGATTTTCATTTACCACATGTCTAAAGAGAAATGGCAGACAAACTTATCCAAAGTCATCATCCTTTGGGCTTCTTTTTGCCTGCATGTCCCTTGTTCAGCTTGACCTAAACCAACAGTATCCCAAACCCCTGCAATCTGCTTCATTTCCTAATTTGAACTTGGGTTTGTCCTTAAGTCTGAACTGAGTAGATTTATTTCCTTTTTTAAGAGAGAGTTTATAGTCTGAGGAAGTCTTTTCAGTGAGAAAACACAAGTGGCAAGAAAACAAATTCCTGTATCATGAATTTCACTAGAAAATGGAAACAACAAGAGAATTGAATTGCTGTAGACTTCTACAAAGGCTTCCTGAGGCCCACAGACGTGAGTGGCACAATTAGCTGTGCTGCTGATCACCTGCACAAGTGTGACAAATGAACAGCCATAAAACTTCCATTCAGATCTTCCACCCTCACCCAGCTACACACCAATTGCACAAATTCGTCAGAAGCAGTAGTTACTTTTTTTCCCCTTCTCAGCACATGCTTTGAGAGGCTGTGAAAAAAGTAAAACCCCTCTTTTTTCTACTTTCAGGCTTTGAAAAAAACCAATACATAACTAATATATATAACAAATGGATTAGAACCTCCCAACCAGTTTTCTTTGTCTGGGACCCCACACATCATGAGGTGTCACAAATGTATATGATCGGCTGTGGTGGAATGTGCTTATGATTTAGCCTTTACTTTTAGAAGCAAAACTTGGAGAGATAACAGGAAAAAAAAATAAAATATCAAACCTAGCAACTGTATTCTCAGAAGGAAAGGAACAAGGCACAAGATTGCTCTGTCAATACTGAGGAATTCATTTAATCCTGCCAACTAAACAATGGAAAAGCAGCGAGCGTTCCTGGGTAAATGAGAACCAATTTTGCTCTTCCAATAGGGAATTTTAAAAGAGCAGAGAGGCTCTGCAGCATTTGTACAGCTGTCCCAAGGCCACTCCCCACCACTGCTGGACAGCAGCTCCCAACTCCCACCCTGGGAGCGCTCAAGGTGGAGAGCAGACACAGTAATGAATATGGGCACAGGAAATAAAATGCCATTCCGTGGTTTTGTTTCCCCTTCAATCAAAGACAAAAATATTTCTCTCCAAACACTGACTTTGTTGCTTTCTTTAGAGATATTATATTTGGAAAATATTTGATTATCCTGTCAAGAGTATTAAATTATAAACAGATGTGCAGAGTGGAAAGAGAGCAAAACTAAAAAAAAAAAAAAAAAAAAGTGCGATTTTCAGGCATATAAATGATTTTGCTTCAGCAGCAGAAGGGTCATGAATATGAATAGTGCTGAATTCTAGAGAAGCCATTTGTCATTATTAAAATTAGTGCTTTGTCAACACAAAATTCTCCCTCCCAGCCTCCCCCTAGCTGCAGAAGAATCCCCACATTAATTCCTCCCTTCTGGCAAACCTTATTTAAAAAAGCTAAAGACACTAAGCATTCATTTCCTCTCAGAACAGTGGAATTCCCACATGACACCCAGCTCTGGCTCCTGGGCTTTCCAGCAATGGGCCAGGCAGCAGGAGGAAAGGACCTAAAGGGGAGCATTGATCCTATTTAATTGTGCAGTGGCTGAGAAGATGAGGTGGAACACATTTATACCTAAGGTTCCTAATGGATTTTTTCATTGCAAGTGCTTGATCGATGGGTAGGGAGAGTTTCAGATAGCAACAGAAAGGAATCAGCCAATCCTTTATTCCCAACACAGAATTGCCATCCCTGAGATTGTGATGCACTGCAGCTGTGCCCTCCAGAGGCAGGTGGCTCATCTTTGTCCAAAACCAAGTGCTTTTAGGTAAAGCTGTGCTAAGTCTGGCAGTTACAGAAGGAAAAAAGCTCTTTACTCTGAATTAATAGGGCAGTGCATCCAGAGCAAGCACACAAACTCTGAGTAGAGAATACAGTTTCAAGCCACTGGTTTCTATTCAAATAGTTTTTTTTTTTTTAAAGCCCTTTGTTTCTCTCTACTAACGACTGTAGGTTTCATTTTCTATAACACAAGCCTGTATATACAAACATTCCATATAGAGAAAACGAGATTCCAAATAGAGAAAACACTGTACATCTGAATTCTAGATGTAAGTGATGTGAAATAGCCCTAGGGACAAAAAGCACACAGTGAGAGGGTGTGATGGTCCTGCCATTCGTTTGCAAACAATCTGTGATCATCCATGCTCTAAAGTGAGCAGTTAAAACCCATCACCTTTCATCCCCAGTGATTTGGAGGTAGACAGCAAAGAATTAAATCCCATTTTACTCCATGAATAATGCATCACATCTGGGGCTTTTTCACTTCCAAAAAGACCACTGGAGCAAAAGAAGTCAAAAGAGTGTCCAAGATCTTTTGACTCCATGAAGAGCGATTGACTGGGTCTTTTAAATTGGTTTGCAACAAAATGAAACTCCTAGAATAAGCAAATACTCTTCTCCTACAAGTACATTTTCACATTGAAAACAATCTCATCCATTTTCAAGTGTAAACAAAGCACAAGGAGCACACAGATTTACTTGCATACTTCATTTGGTGCAATAACATTAAATGTCATTTAGCACTCATCAAACAAATGCTCCAGAAACAAGGTGATATTCTCCAGCAACATTCCCTACAAATGTTTTCCTTTTCAGCACTTTAAAACAGTTTACAGGAAGAACTTTGCACATTTGCGGGAGTTGATCTAGCAAGGATCTGTTTGGGTTCACTGGGGTTTATTTTGTGAGGAGAGGATGATTTATTACCTTCCCTATGGTTTCTGGGGTAGTACTTAGGGACATGCACCAAGTTCAGGGCAATTTTAAGTCGCTCTGTTTATGTCAAACACTTGGGGCCATAAAACACACAAGAACTGGAATCCACCAAATCAATCCACAGAAAAAAACAACTTGTACAGCTTCCAATCTCTGCTTAGCCCAGGCCCAGAGCAGAATAAAAGGGAAGAATAAATTACATTTTGTGACATGAAGTGTGCAGAATGCCATCCCACTGCAGAGGAGCCATGAGGGACACTTTCTCCCCCCTTGGAGGAGCACTAAAAGCTCCTTGTTAATAATTTAACGAACTGATGGACACATTTCCAAGCACTGGGGGAAAAGAAGCACCACCTTGGCACAGCAAGAGGGTGAGAGTGGGCAGCTGGTGCCTTCTCATCCCTGATGGACTAGGGACAAGCCTGGGACGGCAGAGCAGGAACCTGCAGGAGGGAAAGCTTTTCTGCAGGTGGATCACTGCCAAAAACCCTCCTGAGACACACACAGGGGTATTTCAGAGCCTATCCTGAGGCATATCTGACCCACAGCCCAGGCTCCAAAGGGGTGCTGCCTAAACACTGTCCCTCAGGCCTGGGTTGGGCAAGACATCGCTCAAAACACACCCAGAAAAACCCTCCAGCACATCAATTCCATTCATTTTGAATTTACAAACTCAAAATGCACTGACCTGGACACGACTCCTGTAGCAGCTTCCAAAAGAAGAAAGCACAGCCACTGCCCTGCACGTGACTTTATAAACTCCTCCCATTCCTAATCATCCCAGACGAGGCTCACCTGGACACAATTATCTCTGTGCAGAGCAAGCCATTTACTGGGAACCAGGTGTCCCCACTGTTGCCAGGTGTCCCCACTGCTGACAGCTCATTTCTTCAGGAGAGGCTGCTTCAGTCCCCAAATCTGCCTTCACTGTCACTCCATCCCAGCTCAGGCCACTGCACTCACTAAAACAGCCAAGTGACAACATTCAGTTTGGTGCCATCTTCATAAAAGTAAAAAATTACAATCTACAGGTAAAACAGCCACAAAACTGAGTTTAATCCCCCTCGTGGAAAGAAAACGCTGGGAAATACATTTGTCACTTTATTCTTATAAACTCTCTTTATTCCTCTGAAATAAATCATGAGATCTACAAGGCAGTGGCCACGTGAAGGCTGATAACAAGAAGTTATATCAGCTTTAAGGAGAAAATGAAGACAGAGATACTTAGCTGAGATACCATCCTTCACAAAGCCTGGGAGCGTTCGTGTCAGGATTTATTCCCTTACTCACAGCCGTGCTATTCCAGGCACACCAGCCAGCACCGGGGGGGGACAGCAAACTGGATTTGTGGTGTGCCACGCCTGAAAGGCTCCTCTTGCCCCCAGATCAGCATTTTCATGACCCACCTGTCCAACTACGGCAACGACCGCCTGGGCCTCTACACCTTTGCCAACCTGGCCAGCTTTGTGCGGAGCTCCACCAACCTGAGGCTGCGGACGCTGCCCCCGGTGCAGCTGGCCCAGAAGTACTTCCAGCTCTTCCCCGAGCAGACCGACCCGCTGTGGCAGGTAAGGCACCTCCTCTTCCTCCTCCTGCTGCAGCCCCCTCCTTGGAGCGAGCATCTTTTCTTCTAAAAAGCCTTTTTCGAGCGCGGCAATGTGAGTTCAACACAGTTACCTGTACCTGCCTCTCTTGCCTGGAATGCTGTGAGCCACACTGAGCTCGTGGTTACACAGGGTTAAATCCAGCAGGGCACCAAGGAAACCTGTGCACTTATTTAGGGCTTGCAGTTGCAAAAAGGTGCAGAAAATTTCCCCTATAACTTTTGGCCCAGCTACAAAAGAAGTATAAATCTACAATATTTTCACTGGGCTGCAGCAATTCTGTTCAGCTGATGATTTTCTCCATCATATTTAGTTAATTTTATTCACCAGCAAAGTGTATCCTCTGTTATCTCTGCAAAAGCAGCATCTGTATGGTAACTGCTTTGAAGAGCAGCCAGTCCCAACCTCTTCTGCAGGGCCTTTTGTTCACAGGTTTTTATTTTGCATTCATAGGTAGGAGAAAGATAAGGAGATGAATAATATCCCACATTTCTATTTTGCCCTTCCCTTTTGCATTCTCACGTAAATTAAAATTGGCACTAAGCCCCATGCATCCAGAACCACTCTGACAGCTCAAAAAGTAATGCCTCAAAGCCATCCAGAGGCTTCCATCTGAACCTCAAATGGAAATTTGATTAAATCAATGTTCCAATTTTTTTCCCCCCTTCTTTTTCTTTTCTGCTAATGACTGAACCTTGTCCTCAGCCATTCAAAACCACTGTACACACACTGTGGGGTGTTGCTGCTCAGTGTAGGGCTCTGGCATCAGTGCAGAACACTCAGACCCTGCAGAGGTTTCAGATTCCCAGTGTGATGGGCACCACCACCTTTTGTCCTTCAGAACCCGTGTGACGATAAGAGACACAGGGATATTTGGTCCAGAGACAAAACTTGTGACCACCTGCCCAAATTCCTGGTGATAGGACCCCAGAAAACAGGTAAGGAGCACAAGGAGAGCTTTTAAAAGTTTCTACAGAGTCAAAGGTCCTTTTTTCATTTTTTAATATTTCCTAATGGCACCTCTTTTCATTGCCATAGGTACAACAGCCCTTTATTTATTCCTTCTGATGCACCCTTCCATTATCAGCAATCTCCCCAGCCCAAAAACTTTTGAGGAAGTTCAATTCTTCAATGGCAACAACTACCACAAGGGGATTGACTGGTAAGGAGAATGACAAAATTGAGGTGTTCATTCGTAATGCATGGAAAATCACAGTGGAACAATTCCAGGAGCGGGTGTGACATCCCCTTAATTACTGGATGAATTTGTTATGCTGGGAATTATCAGATGGAAAGAGAATCTAATTGGTAATGATGGGGCATTTAATCAAGCCCCTAATTTTGTTTAGATATTACAGTAAGAATTTTCTGAGTTTTCACACAAATGAATGCAAGAGGCAGTTCTGTCATGAGTAACATCTCTGTCTTGTCATAGCTGTAGCTGCACTGACTTACACTCTGTTCCTTCCAAAGTGGCTTTTCATGAAGTGACGTTCCATTTATCTCTTCACAAGGATCCATCCAATCAATTTTAAATGGAAAAGACCATTCAAAGCCAAAATTCAAATCTTGCAATTCTGAAAGCGTCCAAAAGCAAAAATGTGTCAGTCCCAAAATGAAGTACTTCAACAATGTTAAAATTAAACAGTTTGACATTTAAATGTTGACATTAAATGTTGACATTTTGAAGCTTTTCCCAATTTTTTTTCTGCAGCTAAAACTGAACTCACTCCAAACTGGTGAAAGATATCCCTTTGACACTGAAGTTATTAGCAAAAATCCCATCCATCACAGGAAAAACCTAATTACCAGACTTCATGAGGGCTTTAGCTATTACCAGCACCACCTAAGAGCCAAGATGCATTCCCATTACTCCAGTCTGGGCTGAGCTGAAAAATTCAATTTTGCTTCTTGAGAATTATGTCTGAAAATTCACCTTGTCACCCACCATGAAATGGGAAGCACAGGGCCACGACCCTGTTGTGCTGCTGCTCATTCTGACCAGTCTCTTCCCCTCCAAGGTACATGGAATTCTTCCCCACTCCTTCCAACACCACCACCGACCTCCTCTTTGAGAAAAGTGCCAACTATTTCCACTCTGAGGAAGCTCCCAGGAGAGCTGCTTCCCTCATCCCCAAGGCCAAGATCATCACCATCCTCATTGACCCGTCGGACCGCGCCTACTCCTGGTACCAGGTATGGAATTCTGCGCCCCGGGAATGAACAGTGGGACCACTGCCAGGGGATGGTGGTGGCATCAGTGGGAACCCGTGTCCTTTTTTCTCTGCTTGGAAACAAAAGCAAGCCTGTTGTTTTCCCCAGGAAACTCCAGGATGCTCTTCTTTGCCTTTTACTGAGCCCACACCCTTCCATAACAAAATCTGCACTACT